AATATAGATTTTTCTATCTTGTAATCAGTATAGAACTTGTAAAATTTGCTTACTTTTATTATTTCTATTGTTAAATATAACAGCTCTTCATTTCGTAACTAATCCCTTAAATACTTCATGTCAGAAGACATTAATTACCAAATAATTTTGTAAGCTTAGTAAAAATAGAAGCAAAAGGCATCAGGATTCTAATATTAGCTGATTTCATTACAAGTTTTTTTGTTTATTTAAATAGTCAGTAGAACATTGTCAGGAACTGCTTCAAGTCATTTCTACTTTGTGAGATTCTTGTGTTATATCTGTTTGTATAGCTTGAAAGCAACCTCATTATTGCTAGACATTTAATTAAATCAGATAATAATGAAATAGTAAAAAGAAATATATTCCAGTTTTCTATTCTCCTGGTTTTGTAATATCTGTCAACATTGGTTCTCTTGTCAAGTAGCACTGCAATTTACCATAACTGCAATCACTGGTATTTTCATTATGATGGTGAATGCAGTTGTTACCGCTTGCTTGCAGATTTGCTTATCTGTCCATTGTAATTAATTGTTCAGTACTGAATGGTTGTTACACACCAGGAAGCTTTTAGCCATGTGCATCCATTTCTATGTAAACTGAATCTGTTGCTTGTCCTGCTACTCACAGCTTGATTGGAGGTAGTGTGTTAAGGGACATTTAACAAGTACTGGTCACTTAACTTAATTACATTTGAAACTTTTATGATTGCAATACTTACAACTCCTCACTTTCTACTTTGCCCTCTCAATCTCTCTTTCTCTACTACTTTTTTTATACTAGTTCTTTTTTTTACATTTCTTTGTACCTTTCTCTGACTATTTTGAAATGGAACTTTGTACATTGATCTTGTACCCAAGGGCGTAAATATGAATTTCTGTCTGCATTCTAAATTTTTAAGACACCACAAATTTACAGTTTTGTTCAATTCACTATGTACTTGGCTTTTAATGTATACTTGATGAGGTTCCTTCTCTCTCACTATGAATTTAAACATAACTTTTATTTCTATAGATATAATCTCTTCCCCAATGAATTATCACAGTATCCTGAAAAATAGGATTTATTCATATTCTCTCAAGAGATGTAATTTCATTATTTTTCTCTTTTTGTTTCTATAATAGGAACTATAAAAAGAAAACTCCATTAAAAAATTTGAATTTCACACTTTTGTAGAAATCTATTGATGTGTCTCTCTTCTATATCAGTTTTCAATGAAGACTTCAATTCTTTTTAATAAAATCTGACCTTTAAAGAAAAATGGCCTGAGTGAGAAGAGGGGGAATTGTAAATCATTTGATAGGATTCAATGATTTTTTTTTTAATATTATCCTTTACAAATTTTCTCTTCACCACTAATGCAAAATACAGCTTCAACAAACTATGCATTTCACCTGTTTTTTCTCTTTACAGTTCTTTTACTAAATTTGTCTCTCCTTTTTCTTTACTCTTTTTATCCCTTTATAACTTAGTTTTCACTCAGTTTCTTTATTACTTATTGAGGCACATATTTTCTTAATAGCTTACTGAATGTTAGTTTACATGGCTTATAGTAATTTTTTTCCCTACCTGAATGAGGACAGTCTTTCTTGCAATAATTTCAGTCATTTACTAACAAGTGGTAAATACTAATAAATATGAGCACCTTCAGTAACGTACTTGCATGTCTATTACATTTGTACATGCTCAAAAAGCTTTGATAAAATATTTATTCCATTCAATTCATTGCTAAAAACAGAAATTTTTGCAAAAGACACCTAAAATTGCAAAAGTTATGCCAATCTAAAGATTAAACTCTATGAAGCAGATCTCTTCTGGTTATTAGTGTCAATGTTACTATTTTTAGTTTTTTTGCAATTTTTATAGGTTCTCTAAATGCATGTGCACACACACACACACATATATGCATGTGTGTGTGTGTGTTTAATGCAGCAAATATTAATCCAAACAAGCTTGATTAAAAAGAACAGATAAGGTCTGTTTGTTTGCTTATTTTTTTTTTTATTTTTTTATTTTTCCAATTTTCGAATAAAGCTGTTTTAGTTTGTGATCAAAATTCTGGATAAACTGTTCAAAGTTCATGTTGTTTTGACTGTCTCAGTCATTTTCAAGAACCAATGTGATGTTTGAGTGTTAGACAAACTTCCTTTGTCTACATCCTGGTATTTTTTGAAATTTGAAACAGTCTATGGTGATGTCATGTATTATTGTTATTGGGAGCAAAGCCACACCAAAATATATGTGATATTTTGTGTGTGTATATATATATATATATATATATATATATATAAAACAATAATGTTTACTCTTCCCAAGAGCCACTTGAGGCAGAGAGTTACAGAGGCACCACCCCAAGCAAGGTGATGGGCAATAATGCCACCAAGATGCAAGGAGGCCACAGGATGTGAAAGAGAAGGAAAAGACTTTAGAGAGAATTAGAAACCCAGTCCTAAACAGGAAACAAAGGATAAACCTCTGCTCCTGTTCAAAAGATCAGGACTATAGGCAAATCTCAGATTTACTGACATAATAGCTTTATTTCAGAATTTGCATAGTATAAATACTGCTTTTCATGATGGTAGGTCAAATTTATAATGCAGCATAACGAACCTTCTCAGGAAACATTGGTACTGTTACTGACCCTTTGCCTGCGTGGTCTGTCATTGCTTGCTCTTGTTTTTTTATTTCTTATGCTTAGCATGTTTTCTTATCCACTAGAGAGTATAACATACCTTTTGCCCTTGGATACATCCCAGCTGTCTCCAAACATTTTCTGCTTATCCATATTGTCCTCTGTTGTCAGTATCTTATAGAAATACAGTACCAGATCAAATATCTCTTATTTATTGTATAACTTGTTGTATATATTTGAACCTTATTACTTTATTGATTTCTCCTCAACAGAATAACTCTCCCTGGCATTGTTTATTCAACCTCTTCTCACCTGTCATAATAACTGCAGTGCCATAGCCTTTTTTTTTTAACCTCAATATTTTCAAGATACTTATTTTACTTTCTTGATGACCACTTTTAGGTTCAAATCTTGGATCAACTGGCAAAAGGAACAAAACTTTACCAAAAATGTCTACAATACTTTCACACCTGTTTATTTATTATGTCTTTTCAAAAGTTGATTGTGTAATATAATCAATTTGATTGTTAATTATCATTTGTATAACCAGATATAATATCTTATATTTTCTCAGCTTCTTTCTTTCCTACTACTCATATGACTTAGCCTATTTCACCATGCATCATCACATGATGTCACTGATTATGTTGCAATTGATCTTTACAAACTTTTGATAGCAGTCAGTTGTAAATTCAGAGATTATAGAAAAATATCCATATCATTTAGTAATATGGAATTTTGCAAATTAAAAACAGACTGATATTTTTTTTCTGAGTTGGATTTTTTAAAAAGTAGTTTGTGGTAACAAATCAAAAATAAATGTTAGATTTCAAAATTCTTATTTACTTAAACCTTGAATCCCAAAATAATCAATTATTTGGTACTTATCTGTTAGAATATTTATTAAATTTAACCAGTTTTATTTTTATGTTTTTATCATTGTTTCCTTTTATTTATCAGTAGAGAATATAATTTTAGTATATTTTTGCTAACTTCATACTTTAAGCAATGATTTGTTTTTAGGTTTTGATTCAGTCTACACTTAGCAACCACTTATGTCTTCTATTTGAGTCCTTAAGATACTCTAACTTTTAGATTCAGTGTTATAATTATAAACATTCTTAGCAGGTGTGATTTCCTTTTATATGATTTTATGAAAGAATAGCCAATGAAATTAGTTCATTTTTAAACAGGAAAATAACTAAAATGTTTTTAAAACCTTATTAAATCAATTTCAGTTTTGATAGCTATTTATAATCTGATACAGTTTTGTTCATTTTCGTCCAATGTCTTCTAAAATAATTTTTTGGGGATGTCATAAGAACAATGTTAAATTTGTTAGCATAAACACATGGTCGTTGTAATCATCATTAACAGTTGGTAATATTATTACAAATATATATTTCAAATACTAGATAAAACTCTTTTAAGACTGAAATATTTCTATACAAACAAAATTTTTACTTGTAAGATATAAACCTATATAGGTCATTAATATTTTCATCTCAAAATTTACAACATAGATTTGTTTTATTTTTTCATTTCCAACAATGTAATTATTTAAATATGAAAGAAAAAAATTATTAATACTTTTAATATTGTGTATCATTGTACCAAAACATCTATTCATGTTAAAATATGTATTAAATATAATTTTTTAAAATACTGCACTATTTACAAAAATATGAAGATGCAATTTAAAAAATGTTAGCAAATTCATCAAACACATTCACTTAAACCAAATTTTATATTAAACAAAAGACGCATAGACTTTAATCATTTTGCTGTAAATTATTTGATTTTCATATCTAAAATGATATAAAATTGGATTTTCACTCCCTTAAAAAAGAAAAACACCTTTATTTCTTTGATTCCATGTGTATACTGTTGGTTTTTTAATAAAAGGTTGAAGTAATAATCTAGATTTTGATATTCAAGCAAAGCAAATACTCAGTTACAACAATATTCTAAATCCTGATCAAAATATTACAACTGATCAATTGAAATAAACTTGAAAACTTGTGATGGATTATAAATCCTAAATAATGTTGTTACTTTGTGTCATATTCATCAATAATACATTTTCAACCTTTCTGTTTAGAAATTATCATTTTTCTTTGGTATAGCTGCCCAAGTCTGTCTAAAGTATCAGTTATTTCTTTTCTTGGTTTTATTATTATTGCTAAACATTCAAGACTGTATTTCATATACATCCATTCATATTTGGGTAGGTTTTGGGAGATGGGTGGAGAAAAAGCACATTCAGGGTAAAGACATGATTAAAATTTAATTGAGGTTCTTTTGGGGAAATGTTGTAATATTTTGTTTTTACTTGTGTTTATTTTTGCAGAGGCCCTAGAACGTCAGCGGCAAATGTATGAGCGGCAGATGCAGATGTTACGCAATCAACTGGTGTCCCCTAGCACGCCCTCATTCCCTTTCCCACCTTTTGACCTCAACCGAGTGACCCCAAGTAATTCCACACAGAGCAGCATTCAAAGAAAGTATCAACAATGGGCACAAGAGAGGTAAGACTTGTACTTATTTTTTACTTATATCAATTCTGGCTTTTATAGTAGTATAAAAAAAATGTCATGTTTTTTTTAAAAAAAATATATGTATTTGCTTTATGGTATCTTTTACTGTCTTATCTGTAGATTTGTTAATGGTAATGCTCTTAGGATTGTAAAGATCAGCTACAGTATGCTATTGTAATGTATTTATGACAAGGAATCTGTTGTTTCTTTGAGTGAACTTTCAACTTGGATATTGTGAGAAACATATTTTATAGCTGTAGCTGTTCAGTTTTATGGTTTTTCATCTTGATTCTAATTTCCATTTGGTTATTTTCGTTTTATAAGGAAAATTGTGTATAGACATACATCAGTTGTAATTTATATCTGCTGTTGCTTCAAATGTTTCATTTTAGGTATGAGTGCTCAATGAATCATAGTTTAATGTGAGTTCTTTTTATCATGATTATTTATTCTGTACAATCAATGAAGATCTACATTTGATAAGTGATATTTTCATCAATGCCATGATCATGGGATTTAACTTGTTAGCTCACTGGCCTATTTTTTTTCCTTGCTCCCTGTACACAATTATGAAAATATGACTGAGATTGTAACAAATATCTTATTATAAAAACTGTTAGCCCATCTCTTACCACTACAAAGGTAGCTATGGCTTGACTTATTTGTAAAGCACACCTTTTCTTCAAGAAATGGTTGAGAAGGCTTTTAGTGCTTATGAATCTATAAGTCAGTGCCTATGATTCTTATCTTTAATCTCGTTTCAGAATGAGGTTTTGGTGTTTGTTGGTAATTGGCATTTTTAGAATGAAAGTCTTAATGATATAAAATGCTTTTCTTCACAAGAATCCCTCTTTATCCTCTTGCTGTATTAGTGATTATGTTGTGTCTGTTACAATAGGTACAGAAAGTGGCACACAGTTGAGCACTTTTTAGTTATAAATTAAACTTTTAAGAAATTTGATGTAGGAATAACTTAAGGAAGAATCACAATGATTAAACTAGTTACTTCTGTGTATGATTTCTTATAGGCATGCTCCTAATTTTTTATAAATTCATGTGTGTAAAAAAAAAAATTCTGGTTTCATTGCCTATAAATCTACAGGATTTTGCTACAATAGATTTTTTTCCGATGGTAAACTATGTGAATTTTGTAGCATAATGAAAATGTCTAAGAAACATTTTGATTTACTTCTGGTAGTGAATATAAAGTACATTTGTTTCCCATAAACTGACACAATTTCTTGTGTTTTTAGAATGTGTTGATAAATAAATATATTCATAGCTTAGCATTGGACTATTTGAAATGTGGTAGATATAAATATCTGATATCTTCATACCATGAATATCAATTTCAAGTGATGAAAATAATTTTGTCATTTGTATAGGATTTGAAATGCTACCATTTTAACAGTACCCTGAAATTCATAATAATTTCAATTATTTTTGAATTGATCAGTGAGGTTGCTGAAACCCTTTTGAAAACTTTATTTTTAATTATATCTTTCCTTAATAGTTAACACACCTGCCATGCCACATTAGTTATTGTGACTGCAGTCACTGGGCTCTTTTCCTAGATATTCATCAACCAATGCCCTCTTACAACAATATTTCTTACTCATACACACAAGCCATCAAGATTGACATACTGTTAAACAAAACCTAATCAAACTAAACAGGCATGCACACACACATATACACTGACAATACAAATATGAACTCCTCAAATTAGCAATCTATTCAACTATTCACTCATGTTATGAACATTTGCTAAGCAACAAATGCCTCACTTGAATTTAAGGTGCATTTACTAATTAAACAATAAACACTCCTCAACAAACTCAACTCTTGTACATCAAAGTCTAAAACTTTTCACAAGATATCTGAACTACAAATTCCCCAATAAGAATTAAAAAATTGTCTATGTACAACTTATCAATGTATAAATAGAATTAACCCAAATATTAATGTTATATTTTGAATACTATCTTCCTTTTCTAATTTTATGTCCTTGTTAACCCCTTGTGTGATCTATCATATTTATATTTTCATTTCCACCAAAACAGTCCCCTGTTGACAGAAACTGAAAGTTATGCCACACCAATTACAATAGATAAAAGAAACAGCACAGTATATTCTTCTTCTCACAAACCTCAAACATCTACTGTTTAATACGTCATTTCTGATGAGCCTAATTACATTAATTTTTACAAAACAAAAATTATCTCTGGTTTTGCAATCTTCTAAATCTTAAGTCAGAAACAAAAAACAATTCTTTGATAAAATTGGTAAGCCTGACAATGAAATGAATAATATTTATTTTTGATCAAATATTGCAGTTAGAATTCTCTACAAAATAAAACCCCTTTTTCCAACAAATTTGATTTTTTTCAACATAGGAGATCATCTCTACAAAATTGGTGACCCCACTGAACTCTGGAATATGAACTATGAGTAATAATCTATCTTATTACCAAAATATCTAAGATAACAGCACCTTAAATACTAATACAGTATCTTGTTCAGATTCCATTTTTAGTACTACATTTTTTCTGCTGTGAAAATCTGAAATATGATTCAGTTTTGAATAACCCACAAACACTTAATAAGCTTTAAAAAAAATCAAATCAATCAATCAATCAATCTATCTGCTGAGAAAAAGGTACTAATAATATTTGATCCATGCTAAAACAAAACTGTGGAGTGGGTAGCCATGGTCAAATACAAAATAAGTAACAGTACTGTCCAACAAACAGAAATGACAAAGTTTGCAATAAGCAATAACAAGAAAAAGAACAGGGCAAAAAATAATATAAAGCAAGCAAACAATATATGCAAGGCAAATTAACAGTAATAAGGCAATGCATATAGTCATATCACAAAAAGTTAACTAAGAATTGGCATCGGCACACAAAAGCATGTTTGGACAAGTGAATGCAGCATTCTGACTTCAATACTAGACAGATCAGGTCTGTGTTCAGTCAAACTGAGAACGGCCTATTTTAATGGCAAGGAAAAAATCCCAGCATGCATTTGTGTGATTCTGCCTAAAAAATGGGAGTCATTCCCATTTGGATTGAAATCAACAAAAATAAAAGTAATCCCATAGGATTAGATTTTCAATTTTTGTTTTTATAAGTGGAAAAGAGAATAAGAAATAGAAAGAAAATTTAGGATATGTGGAGAATAAATGGGTAGATTTTTTGATTTGTTATGAATTTTTTCCTAAATAAATTCTATTTGTTTAATTTTAAAAACATCAATATTGAAATGAGCTGCTTTTGCAATTCCCAAATGACAACATAAAAGACAAACTTTTTGCTTTGAATTAATACTATAATTTTTTTTTTCCCATATTTTTCCTTTTCTGTTTACTTTTTTTTTTTCTTTTCTTTTTTAGTTTGGTTGAATGTGGTTGAGAGAGGGCTTCCTAAATCTTTCATTTGATTTAATCTCTTCTAAGAAATCAAACTGACATTCATTTTCACAATACTTTGACAAACTAAAAATATTTTTTACTTATCAACATTTTTAGAAATCTTTAATGATGCCAAAGAGAAATTTTTTCCCCAGAATATTTACAAAAAAGAGCTCTCCAAATAAATAGACTTCCTACTGAACTTTGTGGTAGAAATTGTATCAAAACTTAGTGATTATTGTTTAAATTGTCTCCATTACCACTATAATAAATATATTATTGAAACCCATTTACAACAGGGCAAAATGTTATATATATATATATATATATATATATATATATTTTTTCTTTGAGAAAAAGTGCTACTGAAGTTCTTTTATGAATGCGGAATATTTTACTTTATTCATATTATTATAGATTGTGATTCTAAAGAATAAATATGCTTCATTGTTCAAAATCAGAAAAACAGTTTTTAGTATTTTTAATGTATATTTTTATGATAAATCTTGTCCAGTTTTGAAGCATAAAACTCTAAAAAACAAAAAATGTTTATATATAATTAACATTTGATCAATATTACACTGCTATAAAGACAATATGAATAAATATTACAATATTAACAAAATCTGTCATTTCCCCTCCCCAGTTATGGTTTAATTAGTAAGATTTGTATAATTAAACCATTATTATATCAAAAAAAAATTCTTACACTCTAAAAATTTTCTCTGGTTTTAAATACCTGCAAAATGTTGATAAGCCATAGGAAATGAATCTATCAATCAAATAGGAAGAAGGAGAGAAGTTGTAGAATTAAAAATAGAAGGATTTTTTAATCAGTATTACCCCATGCAAAGCTGTAAAACCACTAAGACACAAGGGGTTACGTGGTGTGGAAGAATTAGCAACAGAAATATTAGTAATAAGTGGAAAGAGAAAAGAGTAATCAGGAGGACAGTAGATAGCGATCGACATTGCATTTAAATTTTTGCAGGTTAAAGTTGGCTGGAAAGTATGGAACCAGAAGGGAGTTCCACAAGTGAGAACTGCAAAAAAAACAAAAAAAAAACTGTTAGAACTTACAGCTATATCTTGCCAGCTCAACTGTAAATTGATGAGATCTAGATGCCAATCTAGTACTGCTTTTAAATTCCATATGAAAGCTACCATAGTGAAGAGTTCATCCAAACAATTAGCATGAAAGTATTTATAGAAAAGACACAGAGAGGCAACCTTATGGCAGTGGGAAAGTAACTGAAGCCAAGCCACCAGATGAGGACCAATAATATTGCTGATTCTTCTTTGGATTTTGTCAAGAAGCTCAAGGTAAATAGCAGGGGCACCAAACCATATGTGGCAGCAATATTTTAAGCATGGATGTATGGTAGACTTATAAATATGTAAAATAATGCCGAAAAGTTCTCAGCCTAGCTAAAGGGACAAAAATCTGATGTTTGAATATTTGGTCAGATTTTGAGAAATGTATCATGACAAGAGCTTTTCAGCACCCCCTTATAAAACTGCATGAATGGTCTGTGGAGAGAGACTATGGTGAGAAATGTCAGTTGTGAATATATTC